ACTTAAACTCTTGCTCCCACTGAACCTGGTACTCCCGCTTGAACTCCTTGCCACTTGCTTGCCCCTCTGCCGCTGGCTGAACGTTGTCAGTCTTAGTGGCTTGTCCTTCATCCTCCACCACATCAATCCCTTTTTTCACCTCGTTTATCTACACCATCACAATTACTGGGCTTATTAAAAAAAGCTTCGGACGATCAGCTGCCGTGACATTTTGCGATTGCTAAAGCCGTTAGTTACAGACTACAGTAGAGTCCAGTAGATCGCCCTCAGTCTACCTGGCCACTAAGGATGTAATATAATGTGGGCCGTTGGTGGACATTTTGGCGCTGTTCCGAGTTGTGTTCTAATCCGTTAAAATGACGGATTGCTTTCAGATTGTTCCGTCATTGTTACGGTGTGTCCACACAGCAGCTTTGACCAAATCTTGAAAATCCTGGAGCTGGGCGTGTCTGACAGCTTGGGGATTTCGCAACCAACAACCAATCACATGAATATCACATGAATATCCCGCCCCCGACATACAAAGCAAAAAAACCCAGTTCTTCTACACTATTGTCAAATAGGAAGGGCTATGATGAACATTTATTTTTTTAACATTTTGAACATTTATGAGATTAATGTTTATGGTGCTATTTTATGCTACATTCCATGTTGGCTAATGATACTGTCTATGCTTGCTAGCAATGAAGTAAACTAGCAACGAAGTAAACTGGATATAAAATCCCCAAACGAGCGAAAACCTACCAGTTTCCCCCACAGCCTCTGCCACCTCCCCCCATGCCTGGTTCCTCCGGTTTGTATCCCGGTAAGTAAATAGGGACTGGTCATAAAGAACCGGGTGATTTGCTACCGCAAAAACTAAGTTCTCCTCCATTTTTGTGGAATATAGAAATGAACTGCGGGTTTCGTTCTCCCAGCTTGCACGCGGTTTGATTGGCTAGTGCTTGAACTGTCAGATTTGCATAAACGGATCTGATTGGCTGTCGCTTCCAGCTCAGCCTCAAAAGTTGAACAATGTTCAACTTTGGAATCCTGAACATCCTGGAAATCCTGGAAATCTTCGCCTCGCCCCCCCACAATGCAGTTCGGCGACAAGCGAGGGAAAGTGACGTCATCCCCATTCAAAGTCAATGGGCGGAGACGCGCTGGAAGCGGTGGACAAATCGCCAAAAGCTGTTGTGTGGACGGGCCGTTAGAAAAAATCCGTCACTGACGGAAAATATTCGGTTAACGCGGTTCGGTTGGACATGCAGCTACGATAAGTAATAAGGGTATTATGAGCAGTGTTGGGACTAACGCGTTACTGTAACGCCGTTATTTTTGGCAGTAACTAGTACTCTAACGCATTACTTTTTAAATTCAGTAACTCAGTTACCGTTACTACATGGTGCGTTACTCCGTTAGTTTTTTTATATAGTCAACAGCCAGGCGAACAGAGATGAGAACTGTACTTAAGTACAGTACTTGAGTAAATGTACTTAGATACTTCCTGTGTCACATGCGGAGACGGGCTGTGGGCGTGTTTGTGTTGTTTACTAACAAGACTATCATGGCGGCGGCGGAGCTCAAGTCTAGTTTCTCCACCTGGAGATATTCTCACTATTTCACTTTTGTCGAGCACAAAGAAAAGAAAGTTTCTGTTAAATGTAAGTTGTGTCCTGGCGGGTCAAAGATCCTATCTACTGCCCAAACCAGTAATTCAAATCTCTTAAAACATCTGCAAAAACAACATGCTGGGACGAAGCTAGTAGCTAAGACCACAGAGACTCAGCCGACGCCACTCCACCTCCACCTAAGCAACAGCGGCTGGATTTTAACCAAGGGACTGCTAGCCAGGGAAAAGTCGATAAAGCCATTGTCTAGTTAGCATGATACCATGTCCGGGCGGCACACGGCACATGGGACGGAAAACTTTTTCCAACTAACTGGAGAAAGAATATACAAAAATGGAAAGCCAGCTAATATCGATGGAATCCAGATTGCATATAATGCATGTCAAGTTGATCAACAGATTGTATTATTCTCTAATGCAATAACAGTACTGAAAGGAAGGCTATAAGGGCATTAATGGGAGCCCTTTTTTTAAGTAACTAAAGCGTTACTTTTGAAGTAATGAAGTAACTAGTAATGGTAACTAGTTACTGGTTTTCAGTAATTAGCACAACACTGATTATGAGTGAGTTTCTGTGCAGTAATGCATTAGCATTTTTTCGCTCGTGGCTAATTCATAGGCTCAGCGCTAGCTTTGTGGGGTTTTAAAAAATAAAAATAAAATAAAAATCAGTTAGCTGAGTTTCTTCCCGTTACATGGATATAAAACATTCATAGTTTATTGAATATTAAGATGCACTCAGACGCTGTTTCCTGCAGATGATGCGGTTTTCCCCCCTGTATTGGGGGGGCGGTGTAGAACAGGTTAATTTAATTTGCTTACTTTAACATAATTTTTCATGGTGGGGCTAAGGTGGGGCTTAGCCATTTCTTGGTATGGCTGTAGCCTACACCAGCCATACCCTGGTGCCACCACTGCTAATCATTATAAAAGGAGTGCCTTGGAAATATTTGTTTACATAAATTGTGACCAAACCGTTTGAGACTAAAGTGAACTATCTAAACACTCAGAGTCCTTTACCTCACTGAGCTGTAGTTATCAGCCTAAATCCAACAACAATCCGCGGTACCGATGCACGCCCCCTCTCTCTCTCTCTCTTGCTCGCCCATCGTACATGGCAAATGAAAAGTGTAACCGGGGAGAAAAGGGTGTTACCTTGACTTAATTATGAATGTTGAACATCAAGGCTGAAAATTAGGATGAGCCAAACAGTCAAACATTTATTTTCCCTCCCAGAACTACCAGCGCAGCGCCACCCCAGATCTGGCGCCCTAGGCGCCGCCTATGTCGCCTGTGCCAAAGACCGGCCCTGCTGACCCCCACATTGAGAAGCACTGATAGAGAAGTCCATCTAAAAACATCCAGGACATGGTGGAACCATACTTTCCAGCATGTGCACACAGCCCTCATTGGCCAATCGGCTCGCTTCTCCCTCACTGCGAGTGGCACCCAGGTACCCTTTCAACAAAAACACCTGTAGGCTATACTGGCCCCAAAATGGTGGAAGGAGCTCCCCATTGATAACAGGACAGCTGAAAGTCTACATATTTTCAATGCAGAGTGAAAACCCATCCGTTTTGCAAGTTGGCCAATACCAATTCTCACTTCTCTGCTATTAATGTTTGGTTTATTTGAAGCCAATGCAGTAGTAGCAGTAGCAGTAGAAGTAGTAGTAATAGTAGCTGAAGCAGAACCCGTAGTTGTAGTAAGAGTAGTTTCATGTGACTTATCAAACCCGGACTATAAAAGAACTGTGGAAATCAAATGCCTTTTTGTCCTGCTTGAGTCAGACAAATGTTCAGAGGTTACGGGGACGCAGAGTTTAGTCCTGAAAATAAGTTGTAGGCAACACATGCAGGCGAAAATAGATAATGTTAGTATAAATAAAACATGGAACACCTGATGAAATCCAGATAATGGAAATAAAACGGTCTGTGTTTTACTTTGCACAGTGATTCAGATAACCCTGTAGAGTCGACCATGTCCCTGAACACACTGTGATACTCCTCCTCTGCAAACACAGGTTGGTGTGTTGCCCTTAACCAGCACGTCTAACAAGCTCAGCAGCAGTTTATGGAACCCTCTCTAATGTTTGGATTGTGTTGCAGGTGCTGGTTACAGTTTTTCTTCCTTATGTACCTGACATGGAACAACATGCAAATAATTTAAAACCTACGTCACATTATCCTTAGGGCAATATCCATCTTTTATTGCATCCTATTTCAATTCTAGTAATGTGTATTTTACATAATTACTTTGGCTTAGAGTTTAATTTCCTTATACTTTATTAAGGTCCTTATTTGTATTTCTATTACTCAAATAGATTTTAAAGGTCTTTCCTTTCATCTATTCCAGAGTCACTTAAAATAATGTATTTGTTTTATTTATTTAACTCAATATGACGGCACTTACTGTCTTAATATTGATTTAAAAGTCAGTAGGGAACAAAAATAAACACTTTTGTTCAAATATTATATCAACACTGAATATACTTAGCCAGATGTGTCCTTGTCCTACATACTCTGCACCAAAACAGGAACCGAAAACAACCCTAAGAAAATACGCAGCAACATAAAAAAAGAATAGTGATGCTTTTTCTATGTATAGAAAGGACTCAAATAAACCACTTCTGTAAGGAGTGTGTGTGTGTGTGTGTGTGTGTGTGTGTGTGTGTGTGTGTGTGTGTGTGTGTTTGTGTGTGTCTGTGTACAGAGTAGAGTAGCCTAATTGAAACCCTGGCCGGTGTAGTTAAATATTGTCTGAAGCCAGATTCAATCAGCCCAGCCATCACCTCCTGAACTAGTCCATGGACTTTAGACCGGGCACAGAGTTGTGTGCAGTCTGTACTGTATGTTGTAATGTGGCAATATGTTTACTTTCACTAGAACAAAAGCAACCATGTACTCATTCATAATCTCCTTACTGTACTGGAGGAATGGCTGGCAGTAAACCACTGGAACCCAAAAGGGATTATTGCTGCTCTGGCACTATCAGAGGTGATGAAACAACTGTGAGTGGAAGTCTGGCCATCTTCTCTGTGAGGAAAATAAAATAAAGTCATGCAAACAGAAATCCTTCCCAGGCCTGGGTAGTGGTGTTGGCATGGATTAGCAGTTCCTCCTCACATGCTATTCACACCCTCAGTGGCAGGCCTGAGCTCTGCTATGCACTCACCATTCAGGTTCTGCAGGGAGACGGTCAACTTAAGCTTTAATAAGCAGACACATTCCTCAGGTATGCTCAAACAGCCAGGCATCAGGGCGGCCCGGGGAGGAGTTGCTGCCAGCTGTCAGTCTGATGAGACCCCCACATTATACACAGGATCTCAATGCAAACACCCCCCACACATAAACCGAATCAAAAATCAATTATCAAACAGTTACATTACCTGGAAGTAGAACGACTTTTTCACCCAAGCCCGTGGAAACAGACCCTTCGCCATCACAAAAATAGATCATCACACTGTGTGGACCTGGCTGTGGGAGATCATCCACATGAGTGCGCCCTCCATATAAAAAACGCAAAGGTCGTTTTTCTACAGAAATGGCTGCATGTTCGCCTGGAGCCCCGCTACGATCCCCTGCCCGGAGCTGTGGTGCTGTCCTCCCCGTGTGACTGGCTCTGATGTTGCACTGGGTCTGCGCCTCTGCTCCTGGTGCAGCTGCTGGTTTTAAAGCCAAGCAACATAGCGTTACCTCAAGCTGGGGGGACACGTAGGATCACGGCGCACGCGCAACTCAGTCGTCTACATAAATAACGTTTTACGAGTTTTCAGGTAGTCATCCAAACTGGCGGAATGGGTGTCTGCGTGGATTCAGCAGTGTGCTGTTTTAATAGTCATTATGTGTGAGTAATGTGTGGTTCCTCCACTGAAGCTATGACCGGGTCAAGCTCGCACATTATGAGTAAGACCAACTTCCGTTAGGTCTTTCACAATAAAAGCCTGAATGTTCAAGGAAAGCCCATCTACTGACCGTACAGGTAAGAATATCATTTATTTCTAACTCTACCGAACTTGTTCATGCTGCATCACTTTTAAATGTGTTTGGGCTATGTCTTCTTTCAGACCAGTGGAAAAAACATTTTTTTAAAAGCCCATTGAGTGTTTTTTTTTACCTCTATTTGCGTAAAATTCTAAATGACAACAGCCAACGTCAATTAAAAAGAAAACGTGCAATAGGTCTATAAATAAATGTTATTCATAATTATTATTAATAAAAAAGATTAGATACATTTGTTTTCTTCACCTGCATTCTCTTCTTAAAATACGTATCTTTAAAGCACGTTGACTCAAAATACGTTTTTCTTGCTCATATAAAATCCGTGTATCTACCGTCCATTTGTTTGTCTTTATTAAACAAGTAAACGGAAGAGCGTCTGAGAGGCCTTTTTGCTTTTTACCTTACTGAATGGTCTAATGGTCACTGGAGCGAGGGGCGGGGCCAAACTCACGGAAGTTATTTCAAAGCAAAAGCACTCGTGTGCTTGGAACTGTGATAATATTATAAACAAGGTGAATGTAGCGATCACAACGAAAACAGCCAAGACACACATTGAGCCCAGCAAACTAATGTTATTAAGGGCTGTAAATATAATAGGCCTCTGTCTAAAATGGACAACATTGTTAGGAGATTTAAACTACAGCGATTCTGAACTGCGGTCACTCAGCCGTCTGTCGAGTTTGTTTTTTCAAATCAGCAGCTCTTAATTTTTCTCCCTGCTATATTCAATGAGTGATACAAATATTCTTTACCACAAGTTCTTATAAAACGGACACTCTTGGACTTGGTACTAATTTGACTGCTACCAGAAATAAAATGAAGTACTTTTACTGTGTACTTTGTGAGTAATCCTCTGTCAAAGTCCCCTTCATGTACATAATGCATGTTTATCTGCTATCTTTGATGAGTGATACAAATACAATTTTACCAGTAGTTCTTAATGAAATTGATACTGTTTGACTTTGTATTAGTTAGCCTACTACTAACAATTAATTGAAGTACTTTTACAGTGTATTTTTTGAGAAATCCTCTGTCAAAGTCCCCTGCTGAGAACACAATCAAGCCACTTCTGCTCAGTTTGATGAGGGAATTATTTTTTGTTGCCATTAGTTCTTCGTGAGATTGATTCTGTTGGACTCAGTACTACTGAAACTACCCCCACAAGTACTATGAAGTACTTACTGTGTACTTTTCCAGTAATCCTCTGTCAATGTCCCCTCCTGAGTACAATAATGCATGTTTTTCTTTTAATAAGCATTAAAAAACATTTCTTCCTGAGACTGATATTATTGGACAGAGTATTTTAAGAGGATGGTACACTCTTAAAACTATTGGGTTAAAAAATAACCCAATCATAACCCAGCTGCTGAGTCACTATAGGACAGAACACGCGCTGGGTTGTCTTAACCCATCTGCTGGGCTGGATCATTTTAACCCATGTGCTGGGTTGTTTATTTGACCCAAGCTAGTGATTGAAATTAACTATATTGTTGGGATAAATATAATATAATAATAATGTATAATGAATTATCTCCAAACACACCGTATATATATAAAAAATACATTTATTGATAATTTGAACAACATTCCATTTCCACTATAAAAGAACAATACATTTTAGCACAATACAAATTCAATATATTTAACTCTTTAAAAAAAAAAAAACACAGTGCTAGGGCCTTGAGAAATATCTGTGTATATTGTAACCATCACTTATGAGTGAACACAATTTTCAGGAACAGTTCTGCGTATTAATTTAACACATGGACCATAAAGACCCAATACATATAAAAGTATAAAACAACATCTACGAACCGTTCTTCAACTTGAAGCTGAACAGTAACAAATCTGTCAATGAACACAACAGAACACAGATGTAAAGCAGCATGATGTAAACAGAGGAGAACAGTGTGTGTGTGTGTGTGTGTGTGTGTGTGTGTGTGTGTGTGTGTGTGTGTGTGTGTGTGTGTGTGTGTGTGTGTGTGTGTGTGTGTGTGTGTGTGATTGTTGAAGTTCAACACCCTGGGCTTCAAGTTCCCCTCATCCAGGCCCATCAACACTTTCTGGGTGAAGTCGAAAGTGTAGCTCAGATGCAGGGCAAAGGTCAGTGCAAAAAGCAGGATGAATGCGTCAGCCAGTGTGGGTTTTTTGAATTGTGGGGAGTTGGATAACTCCGTTACCCTCAATGACAACAGCGATCCTCTCTGGGCAGAAGAGCGTGGTGTCTGTTGACCTGGCACTGATCATGAGAAGTCCGACCGCGATGTCCTCTATGTCTGGATCATCAGACTGCTCCACCTGATGACAAGAACAGATAAACGTTACCCAAATTGCCTTGGCTATCTCAGAAATGTGTTTTCTGAAGAATACATCAGTGACATATCACATCAAATAACCTTGTGTTTTGTGCATAATGTGGGTTTAAGGAAACGCCTATTAGCATTGCACAACATAATGTTACAGCACCAGAAACGTCAGCCTCCAAAATAACCAATCAGTTGACATAAATGCTTTCAACAAAAAAACATGTATAACCTTCATAAGGGTAGGATTTATTTTATCACTGTATTAGACTGTTACTATTAGCTAGTTGTACCTAATAAACTGGCAACTGAATATATATTTACAGTATAATCTCTCCCTACTACACATACAAAAAAATATGGGGAACACTAGAGATTATTTTGTATTGAACACTGATGCTGCAGGAAAGAAAGCCCTCTCTTGATTGTGTATTTTATTAAATCATGTGAGCCCATTTTTTACACTGAAACCTAAAGAGCTTAATTTCAAATAAATCCTAAAGTAGAAATCATATTCAACACCTCTGAAGTGTTGAAGTAAAGGGAGATTATGTTCAACATGTCCATTGTGTACCTTACAATAATTACAATTCTTATGGCAATATTCAAATCTTGGAACTAGAACCTGAATGGGATGTGAGCAACACAAGAGATAATGTTTGATTAACAACACCTCAGTGACAGAATCAAGCTTTGATGACACCAGGACAGTTCATACTTTTTCAAACTAAATCTATAATTTCTTACAATTTTTTCACTGTTAAAAATTCAAATAATTGTCTACCTGCGATAGGCTCCTGAAACAATGTAACAAGATAAACTATATTTTTTGATGATCTGTCACATACATTCAAAACAGTTATTATGCTGACTTACATGCCACAGCCTCGGAAACGTGGAGTCATCTTCATGCAGATATGCAGGCAGAGCACGGAGGACAGCAGAACGGAGGACATGGACGTCACCTTGCTCCTTGAGTGTGAGAACATATCTTTGTTTTACTTTGGATGCTAAACAGTATAACCACACAACAATTGATATCACAAGAAAGGGCTCTTCCATGACTGAAGAGATTAACAATTTGACAAAGATAATCCACTCTAGTATGAGAATAAAACACCAAGAGGAATAACCGACTCACCTGGAGGTCATAGGAGGCGAATAGCTGATCCAGAACTTCAGCTTCCTTTCCTTTGCTTGCCGCCTTCTTCCTGAACAGGCTCTGAAGACGGGGGACATGTCTATCCATCTCCGCATAGAAGTGGTTCTTCAGGTTGAGGTTTGTTATCCTGTGAAACTCTGCACAAATCTGCCAAAATATAAAATGACTATTTAATTCACAGTACAATGTATATGTGGACTGAAGGCAGCAGAGATAAACAGAAACATAACATGCTAAATCTGAGTGAACATGTCAAAGTTATCAGTGACAAAGGCACACAAAATAATTATATAGTTGTAATAAATTAACTATTTTCACCTGTGACTCCATTTTCAAGGCAGGCCAGCGTTCTAGGATCTCTCCAACAGGTAGCTCATCATTGATGAAAGGTAGTCTGCATTAACTTTTAAATCAAGGGAATAATAATGTTATAATGTTCAAGTAACTCTGCCCTTGTATCAAAGACAGCAGCACAAAGTTTGCATCTCCAAGTCATTGGAAAACGTAACAATATTCACAGGCACCAACAGGGCCGGACTGGGACAATAAGTCAGGCCGGGAATTATACACCCAGCCAGGCCACTACCAGTTTTGTGGCATTTTGCTGGATTTATTTGTCAATATTTACAGCGTTGCTGCCCATAGTGATAGCCCTCTAAATCTACTACCAAAAAATAAACATATGGAGATGGGTTACTATTTAAAAAAAATTGCAAATCTATTTAGGAACCTATTCATGTGAACATATTTTAAGTGGGGGTGGACCTCAAATCCTATAGGGGGGTCCGGGGGCATTCTCCCCTGGTAAGATTTTTTTTTAAATGTTGGACTTAATTGCATCAATCTGGTGTATTTTGAGGGGGAAATAAAGAGAGAGACTACACCTATATGAAACAGAACTGTATACATTTAAATAATCATAAAATCATAAGAACATGGCCATAACCAATAACATACCATATCCAATATGAAAAAACATTGAAACTTGTTTATTTATTTGTTTTTGGTTCATTTAGGATATTATTGAATTGTGATTTGGTATGATACAGTATGATGTATACTCCTCCACCTTGTTGTTGAAACAGCTCCTTATATCCGTTAGCGCAGCTAGCTAGCACCAGATGCTAACAACAACAATAGCCTACACGTAACCGGTGCGCGCGCTTTCTCTCTCTCGCTCGCTCGCGCCACACATACACACACCCTCCCGAGCTTGAATGACACACAGAGACCAATCGAGGGCATTAGTGTATGGTCTGTATGAAAGTGGCCATGTCGGCAGGCCACATCATGTACAGCCAGTCACCCTCTGTGAGGCAGAGTCAGACCCACATTTGCGCAGCGTTGCGTTCACAATAGGCTACATATATAAAAAAATCCTCAGGCCAGCAGGCCACTTAGCAGGCCAGGCCATCGGGAAACCTCCTGGTGCTCCCGATGGCCAGTCCG